GTCAGCCAGGGACCAGTTTTATTGTGATTCTTCCAATGAAAGGTTAACAGTTTTTGGCACAATTGACATTTTCCCAGGGAAAATGTGAATTGAACATTTGCCATTGGAAGACCATTCCTATGAAAATTCCTGACTAGCTCTTAAAGCTGATGCATGGTACCAGAAGCTGTAAGGCCTTGTATAAAAATGCAAGGCCCTTCTACTGAAATGCAGTGCCTGATTTGTTGTTTTATTTTTTTTTTTTTGTTTAAAGATTGTGCACAAGTATGGTCTGGAAGATGATGGTCTACAAGATGATGGTCTGTGTTTATTCTGAGACCCTGTCTAAAGGAATAGCACTTAACTCTTTGTGTCCTCAAAGCATAAAGTTAAGCATCCCTGTGAAGAAGACTATTATAGACTATTATAACTGAGGGTGATTTGCAGAATTTCCCAAAGTTTATGTAAAAGAACCTGGTTTCCATTTCTACATGCTGTTCAGCACCAGTTTGGGCTTCTGGAAATTATGTGACTGCTTTCAATGGCCACATCCTGTTTTCTGTATCCTTTTAAAGCCTCATGAGATAAATACAAAGGGACCTAAACATTTCATCATATGTCGCCTTGTAATTGTGCAGAGCAAACTTCCAACTATCTGTAAGTGCCTATTTTTTTAAAGCTAGTTTGAAGATTTCAAGCCAACTATAAGCCAAAAAAACACATTTCAAATAGACATAGACAGGGTCTGTCTACATAGGTGCACTAGAGGCTCACACTGATGTAAGCAGGAATAGTACATGACTTTAGAGGAAAAGAGAACTTTTTTTCTTATGCTGGAAAATTATCCTAAGCCCATTCAGCACAGATGGTAGTGCCCAAAATGTTGTCTGTCTGAGGGTCTGTAGCAGCATCCCTGCTCCATTTTGCCTGAACTGCCTTCCAAAAGGGTTCAGGTCTCTTCTGCAAGTATATTTGTGCCATCTAGTGGTGACAACGGTTTCAGTGAGCTCATACTTTCAAACAGCACCTAATTTGATCACACATTGGTCTGGAGGAAAAAGCCATATGCATCCAAAGGAGAATGACACTAGACACGAAGTCGCAGTTTAAAGAAAAGTCTTTGAGGCTCCAGTCCTGGGTACTGTTCAGTGCTGACCTCTGCAGAGAGGGTCCTGTGTTTGTACAGAGTCTTACTGCTCTGCTTACAAGACTGTGGTCCTTTGCACAACAAAAAGTTGTACTGCTTACGTCCGCTAGTATAGTGGGGTGCAATTATACCAGTATAAGCATGCTTTTCTTGGCATAGCCTTTTCCCTATACTGAACAGGCAATAAGATGCACTAGTGTGAGGTATAGTACCTGTATACATTAGGTATAAAAAGATATGATTTGACATAGAAACCTAGAAAAGGAGGACTGGAAGGGGTCTCTGGAGGTTATCTAATCCAACCCCCCTCCAGGTACAAAATGACCCCTATCCAAACCATGCCATACAAAGCCATGGTCTAGCTTATTAGACAAACTATGCAATCAACCTCCATACAGCCACAAGACATAACACTCTCACCTGCCACAGGTAAAGCAGAAGGCAACATCAGCCAGTGGTCTGCTGCTGTGAGGGTTGTTAAAATACGCTCCAGAGATCCCAGGAAGAGCGCCGAGCCCCCTGCTACGGAGGAAGGCAAAACCATGCCAATCTCCATGGGGTAAAATTCCTTTCTAACCCCAAATATGGTAATAGGACTGACCCTGAGAGCAGAGGCAAGGCTCTCTAGCCAGCACATAACCTGGTATAACCAGTATAATCTATATAAACCAGTATATCTCGGTATAACTGAGCAATGGTACCAGTGTAACTCTCCAAGCTAGGAGTTGTACTGGTATAACTGATATACCATAAACAAAATCAGTCCCCCCCCTTTTAAAATAGCTACACTAATCCAAAAGCAATGTGTAGACCATACAGTAGTTTGCAGGTGATTAAACTGATGTCTGAAAGACTACTGTGCAGAAGAGTGTTGTCTATTTGGGACCTGTTTCATGGCATGGGTTACCCCAAATTAGTGCATTCAAGCTGCTTCGCAAAGCTTGAACATTGCAGCCACAGTGGAAACACCACTCGAGTTACACAGACTGACTGGTCAGCTGCTCAGAGTGCCAGGAGTAGCAGAGTGATCACGCTTGGTCACTCACACTGCTCTACCTCCTCTGCCTTTCTGATTTCGGGGTTTGTCAATATTGCAAGCCTTCTGCCGGCAGACAGCACCCATCACAGAAAAGATGCACGTCTTGTCTACACCTGCATGGCTCCTCCTGGGATGGTATTCTTCCATGAACAGCCTCTGGGCTCACAGGAGAATGGAGAGGCTCTTCTCCTTCAGCTCTGGGGTACGCAGGTGGACACACACATGTTTTGAGGCCCTGTGATTGATAAATCATCAATTAGTGAGATTTGATTAAAGTAGAAAATTGGAGTGATGTGTGTGTGTACACCACGCACGCATGTTCTGCTAAAACCTGTCATTGAGATATAGGCAACGGCACTAAAATGGAGAAATCTTTGTAAATCCCTGATGGGTGTAATGCCTAATAGTTCAGGTTAAGAAATTATTTAAATAAAAACTAAGTTATTTTGTATGTATAATAAATATTCTTGCACATAGAATCATAGAATAGTAGGGCTGGAAGGGACCTCCGAGGTCATCTAGTCCAACCCCCAGCCTGAGGCAGGATCATCCCTATCCAAATCATCCTGTATAACCCATAGTCTAAACTGTACATAAGACTATTGTCAGTCTTGAAACAACACAGACCTAGCACCTTAACCTGCCACAGGTAAAGCTGGGGAGAACCACAGCAGCCCATGTCCTACTTCTGTGAAATGTTGCCAATAGATGCTCAAGAGATCCCAAGTAGAGGGCTATGCCCCCTGCCACAGAGGAAGGCAAACCCCTTACAGTCCACACCAATCTGATCATGGGGTAAAACTCCTTCCTGACCCCAACCATGGTGATTGGTCTGAAGCTGAGCGCAGGGGCAAGACCCTCTAGTCAGGAACCTCTGGCTTTGGTCCCAGCAGGATCATTGGCAAACCCCAGGCCAAGTCCCCAAAAGGGTTATTTCTCCTTTGCTGTACTAGACACTTACTGGCATCTTTTATTCTCAGCTCCTACAGACATGCAGGGAGCCTGCTCGGATGCGCTGGAAATCCAGTGCATCAGAGCAGACTTGATTAATGAAGTCTGCTGGAGCACAAAAACTGATGCACTCCGGTAGCCTTCTGCATCATGTCTATCAGTGTCCCCGTGTGTCCCTGCGCTGAAAAAATGGTGACAGGTGCACTTTGAAATAAAACACATTCAATGAGCTTTAGTTCAAAGTGCCCCACTGCCATTTTTTCAGCACAGGGATGCTGATACACGTGACATGCAGTTGCTTTTAATTCACATGGCTCACTAATTCAAGTGCCTGGCACCGTGTCCCACAGCACATGTAAAAATGCCCCAAGATTTTCCTTAGCGTGGCTCAAATTTAATTCTGAGACGTCTTTCTTTTTTAGTCTTGGGAGAATAAAACTTCTGCCTGCTGCTTCAGCAGAGAAATATCCTGAAATGGTGGGAAAGGGAGAAAGTAAAAGCTACACACATTCGCAGTATTTGCATTATATTAGCACATACATATGTATTCTTAGCTCAGCACCTTTCCTGCATGTTACATGCACTGCTGCCTGCTCTTTGGTGTACACAGTACATCTGTGCACTGTTCCATACAAGCATTTTAGGGCCATGGGCATGCTGCACTTGTCAGTACAGGCCTCGGCAGCAGATGTGATCCACAATGTCTCTTGGCCCCAGTACGCACTTTGCATTTGTTCCTCAGCTAGACGTGCTCTGCACTAGGGTGCATTTCCCTTTTGAAGAGTGAGGTTATACCCTGCTGCAGCTATAATTCACTCCAGATGCCTCTGAACCTGTCCCCAGGCTGACTGACGCCTTGGAGGAATGGCATGGGTGCACAGACAAGTGAAAAGGGAAAGGGGTTTACTGTGCGTCACTGCTCTGATGTCACCACCTGTATGCATGATGTTATTCCACAATAAACGCAAGTTCAGCCGTGTTACCTCAGCCCTTTTTCGTTGGTGGGTAGGTTGCTCTGGATAAGCTTTCATACACCACGGGGTAAGAGTGCACATGAGTAGTTAACTACAGCGCAGCTCACCGGTAGCATCCCCAGGGATGGGCAAGCACCCAGACACCAACTGAGAGGGGACACAAGATTGGCAGCACTGGCGCTGCCCAGGGTACAAAAGCTGCTTGTTACATCTTGCAGCAAAACCACACCTCTTTTCCTTCACAGTTATTTCTTCATGTGCCTACATCATACATCATATCCTAAGGGCCAGATTTTAGGAGCCTAAAGATACAGAAAGGAACATAAGAGGTTTTAGTAGTGCTTAGGTGTCTAAATCCCATTAGTTCCAATGGGAGTTAGGTGCTTTTGAAAACTTGTCCAGGCCCCTATCTACATCTTTAGGTGCCCTTTGAAAACCTGACTCTCACCCACTGGTCTTCTTAATGGTCTTCTACACTGCCAGAGTGAAGTAAAGGGGTATTCATGTAATGCAAACCCACGTCTCATAATGCCTACCCACTGGTGGATAGTGGTTTGGAGATCCTTCAGGTATTGTTGCATTCGTCTCTTTCAAAACTGGTTATTGCCTTATTTGCCATCCGACAGATTTATCTGGAGTATGTTTTCTCTTTGATCTCTCATATTTTTAATTCTTCAAGGTCTGGCCGGCGCCTGACAGAGAATTAGTTAAACACCAGGGGAATCTACAAAGGCAAGAACTCAGCCTATCCAATGCCAAGCTGCTATCAGGGGCATGACAGAGTGAAGACACGGTATTTGCCCAACCATCACCCCGGCCCCCAATGCTGTGCCTTGCATCACAGGGCAAATATTTACCCAGGGTCTAAACAAAGTCAGCGTTTCAAAATTTTGTTCAAAATACTACATAACCTCCCATCGTTTCCTAGAACTTGGCTCAGTGTAGGAGAGCTCCTCTATCCAGTGCCTATGCCAGCTGCTCTCAGGAGGCAAGGAGAGAGAAAATGAAGCCTCTGTTTTGCTTCCTGCTTTTATTCTTGATTTCTGAAATGCACAGCTTTGATCTCGTCATCGAGGGGATCCCAGATGTAAGTATTTAAACAGAGGGCCCCTTCTTCTGACACTCACGCCCCTGTTGCCTTCAGTGAGCCCACCACTGGGTCTATCGATGACTTCTCTTAATGGTTTTGCCTACTCTGCATTCTCCTTTAAGTTTCTTTTACCCTCCGCTACAATTAAGCCTTGTTGTGTTTCACATACTACCTTGTCTGCTTTCTTAGTGCTGCTCTTTGCTATGGTTTTATTAAACTAGGGGCAGATATTGGCGTGACTCTGGATTACTCAGCCCCAATCCAGCTTCAGTGATCCTGTGCGTGGGCTCAGTACAGATCTCCTAGTAGAGATGGGGCACCATAGACTGCAGTTCCTTGAGGAGAGGAATCATTGGCACATCTTCTCAGCATAATGCAGCACTGTGTAGAGGTACTTAAGTGAGATTGGTACCCAGGGAAGCACAGTGTGTTAGTCCAGGTGTAACATGGCTTTATTGCTTCAGGTACCCAAGCTGGGTAGCTTGGATATCTCTGTAAAGAACTGCATTATCCCATAAAGATATAACCTTGTTTTGCCTTCATCTCAGAATACCATCTGCTTATTACAGTTCTGATCCAAACTCTATTTATTGCGCATATTTCAAACATTGGCAATTAGCAGACAGGGGTGGTATGAATTTCAATGAGCCCTAACTTCCTTCTCAAATAATAATCATAATAACGAGTTAGGAGGAGATACTTTCTCTTTGTTTCTTGGTACGAGGCCTTTAATGACTCAAAGAGATTCTCTCAATTTTGCAGTGTCTGGGACAAAATAATTGGTCTGAACCCTGGCCTGCACACCAAAGAGTGATCAATTTAAGTAAAATCTTAAACTAAATAAGGTATTAAACTAAATAAGGCGCTGGATAGAGTTGGTAGGGGAGACAGTTTCAGTCATGTGGAAGGACGTGTCTCTTTGAGAGAGAATTTCTTCAGAGGGCAGTGAATCAAGGAATCAAACTTTCACCCAGTTCCCCACTTGTATCTAGGAGTAAGTTCACCCTAGCACAAAACTAGAGTAATACAGTAAAAAGTGGGCACACCTACACATGCCGATTTAAGGCACATTAGCCATTTTCAGGCACATTAAGGGAGTGTGTCTACACATGCGGGCCCTTAATTCTTCTTTAAAATGGTGATTTTAGGCTATTAACGCCTAAATTCAATACCTGCAAAAAAGTAGGTATCTGATTTAGGTCTGAATAACTAAAGCGCCTTAATGCACATGTAGATGTGCTAAGGTGCATTAACGCTGTGTATGTCAATTGACTTGGGACTAACCTTACTCCCAAATTGGTCTGCACATTGCATTAATGTGCATGTAGATGTGCACCTAAATTGCCTTGATGCATATTAGGCAAATATGCATTAAGTTTAGGTAAACGTAAAAGCACGTGTAGGCACGCCCAATGAGATTACATCAAAATGATGACTGAAAGGAGATATAATTGTTCCCTTTGAATAAATCAGGGAAGTAAGATCAAGAAAGAAGGCAAGCTATTTAAACTAAAGGACTATCTTGATCCATGTACAAATAGGTATATTATATTTTCTCACATATAGCACATACCTTTTTCCTAAAAACCAGCTGTTGGAAATTGAAATGCACTTAATATGTGAGAAATATGGTAATAGCAGATTCTGCCACTTACCAGCTGAAACCAAAAGTAAAATCTTTAGTGATCTGCAGGGACCAGAACAATGAGAGGTCCCAGTACCCGAGGTGCTGATACTCAATTGCTTACTAATAGGAAAGATCTTTTTTTAATTCATTCTTCCTTTCAAGAACAAGGTGCTTTCTATATTCCAAAGCATATTGTATATGAGAAAATACAGTAAATCTGTCATGACTAAACTTAAAAAGCACTTGATTCTGGAAGAGCCTTCTAAAGGGAGGAGTGGGGCAAACACCCAAATAATTTTAGGATTTGGTTCAATGTGTTTGTGAATGGGGTGATATGACATGTGATAGCAGAGGATGGGACGTGATGACCCAAGAAGTCCCTTCTCATTCCAACCTGAAAGCTACAGAAGTGGCTTAATTATGCTCTTCTGCATAGCATCCATTCTGTTATCTTCAATGCATTACTACTTCTGAAATAGAAATCTCTGATCTTGAGATCTCCCCTAATGTGAATATTAAAACTATTTCCCTGAGTCTCCTTTTGTCTCCTACAGAATCTGGAGAATTTACGTAACCTGGAGGTCGACGGATTCCTTTCAAAGCTGATGGCAGGAAGTGGCAGGTACCAGGTACAATAACCATAAAATCTTAAGAAGCCTAAGGAGGGAAGGTGACAGTACACTACAAATAACAGTAATGACACACATGTGGTTAGCCTCATGCATGGGGAAAGTGCCTTAGACTTCAACAGAGTTTGCCTGTGTGAATCTGGTCACAGACTTGAGGCCAAACTGTCAATGGGGAAGACACTAGTGATGGAATAAGGAGCCTACCAGTCCTACTGTAAGGCCCCTGGTTCATATGTACCTTAGGTAAAGCTTGGTTTTACCTGTGAAATAAGCTGGTGCTGATAGAGTTGGTAGAGCAATTAGCTCGGTAGAGCTGGTCAAAGTTTGTTAAAATGTTGTACATATTGTGCAGATCGTTTTAGTCTGTCATGTATTAAAACAGATCAATTTTAAAGTGTTTTCTCTGGGATAGTTAAGTGAAATGTTTCTTGTGATTGACAAAATGGTAATTTAAAAAAAAAATAGTTTTTTAATTTCAAAATATTTTTAATTAACCTTTTCTCTTTGGAAATCGAAAATATGGCTTTGATCTTGTAAGCACTTACAGACATGGTTAACATCATGCATGCATGCAAAAATGTCTCTGAGTAAAATGGAATCACCTGTGGTGGGGAAAGTTAACTTACATGGGCTTGATTATCATTTCCCCGGAGGCTCTTTTATGATGATCAGGCTGCAAAAGAAAGCTTTATATTGGGTATAAATATAATTTGCTCACACTTTTAAGTTCCTTTTCCACTGTCAGAGTGACAAAAAGGGACGTTAGTGCAAAGGAAAATCAGGTCAATGCATATTTGCAGATTTAGAGCCTATATGACTTAGGCCTGGTCTAGACCCTGTGTCAGCATAACTGTTGATTGGGGTAATTTTTTCCCAATACGGTTATAGTAATATAACCGATAGCATGAATATAGTCATGCAGGGGTCTTGAACCAGTATATGTTATTCATCTGCAATCAGAATCACCATTCTCTTTGACCCGTGGGATAACAGATGAGCTGAGGCAGACAGTAGATAACCAGTGTGCGATGATGACACCAGTAGGCCATGCAGTTGCATCTCCATTCACAGCTCCTCACTTCTCTGCATCTCACAAATTAAGGCAGCGGAAAACAAAGGTTTTGAAAATGCAGGATTGGCATCCTTTGTAACATGTCAGGAACCGTGATCTCCATTGAAACCCAGGCAAATGCCACAAAAAGCTTTCTAACAAAGTTTGTCACACCAAATTGGTCACAGTTCACTGGTATCTCCACTTACCCAGCTGTCGAAGTGAGCGATAAACCAGAAAGCATGCTTGCAAAGTGACATTCATTTATAGTCAGATTCTTTATTTCAGGAGTGGCAAATCCAGGTTACTGGCTACTGATCTTTGATGTCTTGTGAGGTACCATAAAGCCAAAGTTTTCCAGAGTGACTACTGATTTTTCATGTCTCCATTTCTTGGGTATCCAGCTTAAAGACAATTAAAAGAGGTCTGTGTTTCAGAGAGCTGGTACTCAGAGCTATCTATGAATGAGATTCCCTCTTAAGGTCTGTTAAGGTAAACAGCCAGAAATTCAGGGGCTCAGTCTCAGTAATCACTTTAAGAAATCTTGGCTATGAGTTTTTTGTTTGACCTAGAAACTTTTCATAGACATTCATAGACATTCGGGATGGAAGGGACCCCGGAGGATCATCGAGTCCAGCCCCCAACTTAAATCCATCTTGCCCTCCATACCCTTACTACAACCAGTGGGAACTTGGTAGCAGTTGTTGCCTTTGTACAACTTCATTGGCCAGCTGTTGCCTCATACAACCATAACTGGAAGTGATTGGGATTTGAGCCACATGACCAAAGTTTGTTGAGTTTGGTTCATGATGCCACAACACCACCGTGGAAGAGATGAAAAACAAAACATGGATCTAGTGAAGAGCAACACTTGAATCCAGCGTCTGAAGAGGTTCAAAATACAAATGAAGAGCCACATTTTGAACGTGGTCTCTACTTTATCAGCGGCATAAATCCAAAACTTCAGATCTACCCACCACCAATCTTAGAGACATCCAAAATCCGGATCAGGATGTTTCAGCTGGAGGCCATCTCTAGCTACCTGCAGCATTTCCCAATAAAAACTTAGGTCATATTTATTCACAGTCAGAAAGTAAGTTTCTCTACCTGTAATCCTTTAAAATATCTGAATAGGCGGGACATCATCTATTCTACCCAGATTTATATCTGTTGCATAGATTCCTCTGGCTACTCAAGCACCAGTTAACCCAGCACAGATTGAATAACTTGAACCTGTATCAAACGTCACAAAAAACCCAAACCATTTTGAGATTCTTCTATATTTTCTGCCTTCTCCCTCATCTTGAGTCTCTGTCATATACAGGCATACCTCGGAGATATTGCGGGTTCGGTTCCAGACCACCGCAATAAAGCGAATATCGCAATAAAGCGAGTCGCACGAATTTTTTGGTTTCCCAGTGCATATAAAAGTTATGTTTACACTATAGTGTAGTCTATTAAGTGTGCAATAGCATTATGTCTAAAAAAACAATGTACATACCTTAATTAAAAAATACTTTATTGATAAAAAATGCGAAGTGAGCAAATGTTGTTGGAAAAATGGCGCCGATAGACTTGCTCGACACAGGGTTGCCACAAACCTTCAATTTGTAAAAAACGCAATATCTGCGAAGCGCAATAAAGCGAAGCGCAATGAAACGCGGTATGCCTGTATTTGAGGTTTATATTTGGGAAAGTTAAGAGCTATGATCGGATTAGCCACCAGATGTCACTGCTGCTTGACCGAAATTCCAATTCCTGCTATTTTCATGTGGCAGTAAAAAAAAATAGTTTCTTAATGACCATTATTTCAAGTTTATAGTGGAAAATGTTGATAAAAATCATGCAAAATAAAAAAATATATATCATTTTGGTTGAAATGTTCCACCAAGTTTCAAATTTTCTTAGAAACATGAAAATAAATATATTCGCCAGAAAACCTCAAGATTTGTGTTTTTCTCCCAAAAAGGCTTCTTTGGGGAGAATATGTCACTTTTTAGCTAGAAAGTGTGGTGAAATAATTCAGAGTTTTTCTGGGGAAGCAGATGCCTCTCACGAAACAAGCAAATGGGCAAAAGAAATGTAACATTTTGCCAAATGCTCAATTTTCCCACAGAAATCATTCCAATGGAAACATTGTCTTCAGCCCAGGTTTTGGTTTTGAAAACACCTAAGTCCCAGAGGCAGGCTTTCAACCAGGTCTGATTGGTCTCACGCTCCTAAATCACCCGGGAGCTTTTGAAAATACCACATTTAAATATAAGAAAGAAGTCAAATGGGACCCTGAAAACTCAAATGAAGCGACGTGACTTGATTCTGAGCATTTTGTGAAAGTGTATCTATGCAATGGGCAACGGACTCATTTTTCAGTGGTTAATTGATCTTTATTACAGTCTGAATTTTCAGGCGTGCTGAAGTCTCACCCTTCATTTCTTTTTTTTCTTTGTCAGAGAAGCGCATCGGACGAGCACTCTGGAGAGTCGGTGAGTTTTCACTTCTGTGGAAAAAATAAAAGGACAACATGATTTTCCAGTTAATCATTCCCTGGAAATCAATCCCTCTGTTTGTTCTGCTCTTTGGTTGTATCACTGATCGGGTATTCACCTGCTGTCTTTGAACAGTTGAGTGCTTACACAATGCTCTTCCACAGTGATTCATACCACCTACCATGGTTGTCTAGATTGTACTGATGAAGGAATAAGCAATAATAATAATAGCAATGTGCCCCTCTTCTCCTTCAAAGGCAAATGTTTTATAACCTTCAGATCCAACCAGGCTCTTCTCCTATTTCCAGTCCTACATCTCAACCACCTGCCAGGTTCAATCCAGTCTGTGCCATGCCTCCACCCGCTCTTGTTTCAGGTTCATCTTCAAAAGCAAAAGGCTTGTCAATCCTCATCCTCTCTTACAGGATGTGTTAATGAAATAAATAAAAGGCTTGCTGCCTATGCTTGAACCGTAGCGGCTTACATTAAAGGAGTGATTCTCGAGCAATCAGTAACACTCATGCAGAAGGCTGCCAAGATATTCTTTGTTACCTTTCGACCAGGCTTATTTGTGTGTGTTGAATAACAGGATTAAGATACAGTTAACTATTGCTCAGAAATGAAAATAGTGCCCATGCATCTGTTGGCAAAGACAAAACCATATAGGAAAGGAGGTGGGAACTTTACTAACCACCAAAAAACATGGTGGTCTTCCTCCTAGGCCAAGAAACTCATTTAGGAAGCAACCAACTGTAGGTTACTTGGCTCTAACCACTGTGTTGAAACTTCTCCACCTGCATCAGTCTAGTGCAGGGGTGGGCAATTATTTTGGGCAGAGGGCCGCTTACTGAGTTTTGGCAAGCCATTGAGGGCCACATGACAAGCAGCCCAGGGCAGATAAATATTAATTTACTAAATTTTTTAGGGGCCCCGTGGGCTGGATAGAATGGCCTGGCGGACCACATCCGGCCCCCAGGCCACATTTTACCCACTCCTGGTCTAGTGTCTTGCATTACTCCTTCGTCAGCCAAACTTGTCTCAGATACCTGAGATGCACAAGACTTTTCTGTCCTATCTGGGTGCCTTTTTGTGAGGAAGTGTGGCTGAATACAAGCACTACGTTCAGCAGGGGATGGATTTGGTGCCTAAGTTATTCTACGGACATATGTCCCAACTTTGGAAAATGCTTTGTTCCACGGCAGACGGACGACAGTGACAAGATAGGTATTTACAGCTACAAAGTCCAGTCCACGATCACGTCGCGTCTGGCCAGCACAATGATCCAGAGCAAAGTGGTGAATAATGCTAAGCATCCCCAGCACCTGGTGTTTGAGGTGCAGATCCCCAAAGGAGCCTTTATTGACAACTTTACTATGTAAGTAGCAGCAGTCGTGGCCGTTGTACGGGGGGGGGGGTCAATGAATGAATAAAAACACAGTGGGAGGGAAAACATCCCTAAATCTTTATCTTATGTAAAATGCTATTTATTGGTTAACCTTTCGTCTCTCTTATTTAATGCAAAAAATTCCACCGGATCATAAGTAGGTTTCATTTGACTTGATTTTTCATTAAACTAAAGGAAGCCCCTCTTCACTTTCACAATGGTCTCTATTAGGATCTACCTGTGCTTCTTTTCCTCAGGGATGTCAATGGAATAACATTTACCAGCTCCATTAAAGAAAAATCTGAAGCCAGGAGAATGTATGCTCAAGCCAGAGCCAAAGGCAAAGCTGCTGGAATAGTGAGGTGAAAAGCTTTCTCCTCTTTATTAGCCTTTCATTTGGTTAAAATCTCACTTTATTCTTCCCTGATGGAGAGATTATTCCCTTTCCTGACAGCAGTGTATGATGCTAACATAATACATGTGTAATGGCCCTACTCTGGGAAATCACTTAGACACATGCTTAATTTTAAACCCATGAACAGCCTGCTGAACACTGTGCTAAAGTGCTTTGCTGGAGTGCAGGCTATGCGTTATATAGTTGTATATAAGTTTATTATGAGCAGCTTGTACGCTACAAATATGGGGGGAAATTCATCACTGTGCAGTGGCCAGCATGATGTCTCTGCACCATTTAGGTCCTATTTGAAGAGTTTACCTGGGAGATAAGTGGTGCACAGCACTTGTGCTGGCTTGAGAGATTGCTCAAGTTCAGTGGCAGCTTCACAACTAGGTTCCAGGAGGCTTGGTTCAGGTTTCTGGACAACAGGACCATCACCTTGTTTTTCCTTTTCAAGGCAGAGAAACTGGTCGCCTGCAAATGCAAGATAGGGGCTGACACTGCACTACCCAAATCTCAATCCTGGGGTGGGTTTGAAATGGCATGGAGTTTTGGATGGGAGGAATTCAGTTCCAGGTTTTGATTATTGGATGATACATGGTGTAGACTGGGGCACTTTGCAAACTTCAGATCTACCTCTGTGAGTCTTGACTCAAAACACAGCAAAAAAAGAGCTGCTTGAAAACTCATTGGGAGCATGTCAGTAGAGATGATATTTTGTTTAGGAACAACAGGTGAAGCAAAGCATTTTGAGAAAGCTGAAACACCCCTCCAGGAAGAGGAACATTTGGAATGTTTTTTGGTTTGTTGGTTTTGAAATGACTTGTTTCTGCATTTATTTTTATATTACATGACACGTTACAGTCAAAATCAGAAAAGTGGTTTTTTTTGATTTGGCCTGAAATTTTTTTTTTTAAATTACACTGTATGGGAAATTAAGTGTGTATACATACACATGTATACGTATACATACACATATATACATATGCATACATACATATATGTGTATATGTATATATACACTCCCACACATATATACACAAGACGCACACCCATATATGTATGATCTTTCTGGATTGAAATAAAAAAGACAATTTCAGAAAGTTATATAGTCTGGTGGAAAAAAGAATTCTGACTCTGCTCAGCTTTGCTGTTTGTGTCCCTGGTTTTGCAACACAAAACCAATGATAACAAGAAAGCCATGGCCAGATCACTCAAATCACTCTAGACATACCCTGTTCATATATAGTCCTTCTAAAGCACTTGCCTTTCCTGGGGAAAGGCTACTTGGCTAAATGGACTGTTAATCTAAAACAGTTTGGCCCTCTTTGGGCACGTCTACATGTGACGTAATAAACTCCGACACAGTTTGGGCCAGAGTTTATTGTTGCCAAGTGTTGCATCTACACGTGTGCCTGGGACTGCAGCATGTTGAGCCAGGTCACGGCATCTCTGACTGGCAGGGGACCCCAAGGCTCAGCCTGCTAGCCCACGTCTGCTCTTGCCCAGCTCAGTGTGCTGTGGAGGAACTGGCTGGGACACAAGGGTCCTTCAGTGCAGAGCTAGCTGGCGGGCAGCCCCCACTCTGTAGCATCCTTGTGACTCACCCAGCCACCTCGACATCTGCATGTGTGGTGCTGCAGAGTAAAAAAACCCTGCAGCAGGCTAGTACTTGTAAATATAAGTACTACCCTGCTGCAGAGTTTATTAGTTTCCTGCGGCCTAAGAGAGCTGCACATGTAGGTGCTGAGATGTTTATGGCAGAGCTAGTTAAGCAACTCCACAGTAAATGTCTCAGTAGATGTGCCCCTTATGTTCTTATATTCATGTTCCTCTGGAGCAGTAGTTCTCAGCCAGGATGCTGCAGCGCCTTGGAGAGACCCTTTCACAGGTGCTGTGATCACAGCCAGGTAATACCCCATATGCCTGGTGGAGAACCGGGCTGGGCATATATGCTCTCCTGCCCTGTTAGGGGTCTCCAATAAGCCTAAAGCAGGGAGGAGAGCCGGCTTCTGATGCAGCCCTTCCCAACCTGCTTTCCCCTCCACCCCCATCAGCAAAAAGTATACTTAACTCATTTTTCCACTGTCAATTTGACAGTGTTACTAAGTTAATATAGGCCAGCTCCTGCAGTAGATATATATTTTAAGCCACCTTGGATTCGGCTGAGCTGGGCTTTTAGTAGAAAGCAAGCGTTTTAAGTTGTACTGGTCATCATGAGTTTCTTGTATGTAGGGGCTTGCTGCACAGTGATACCATTTTATGTTCTGAAAACCTTTCAGGAGCAATGCCCTTGACATGGAAAACTTCAGAACAGAAGTGAATGTGCCAGGAGGAACAAAGGTCCAGTTTGAAATTCATTATCAAGAAATGATTCGGAGGAGATTGTCATCTTATGAGCACACTATCTCTCTGAGACCCGGGCGACTGGCAAAGCACCTTGAGGTAGAGCAGACAGCTAAAGGGTTGTGTGTTTGCTACTCAGAGCATGGCAAGTAGCTGACAGTTGTTTGAATGTCTCAGAAAAGATGAGCACTCATGACCAGGGATCCTGGTTTTCTTGGATTTTAAAAAATCCACAATTGTCGGTTAAAAAAAACCAAAGTAACCCCAAATCCACATTTTCCATGATTAAAATGAAACACCACCTTATATATATCTATGTAGTAGTGGTGCTTCATTTAAATCACAGAAAATGTGGATTTGGGGTTACTGTTTTTTAACTGAAATTTAGGGATTTTTTTAAAGCAGAGAAAACCAGGATCCCTGCTCACAGTTCCTACAGTGTGCACTACTGAACAGTTATACACAGCTCATAGCTCCTTACTTATATGAATCATGCAAGCAAATGGGGATGTCTTATATGAGGAAGACAAACAGGAGTTCCCCTTTATTTTGAATGCTACCCCCAATTACAGAGAGAAGTGTCCTGCAGGCACAACTAATATTTTGCACTATAAATCTTTCCCCTAAGGTCACTGGGTTTTGACTCAGGCCTTGAACTGCAGTGTATGAGATCCTTTTGACTGAAGACCTAAATTGCTCCTGAATCCAGCTGCCAGACTCCTTGCCTGATTTCTTACCCAGTAGGAAAACCAGAAAGGGCTTAGCCCCAATCTTGGGACAAGAAGGGGAAACAATTTCTGTCCTAGTCTCTGCACACACTCCAGAGGTGGGAAAAGCAGCTCATTTTCCCCACTAAATGCTTGACACCATAAGCTTCCCATTGAGTCTTCCCCCTGACAGTGGGACAAGAAGGGGCAGTGACCCAGGGTCTCTGCTGGTAGCTTGGATCCAGAGGCTAATGTGAGGAAGGGTATGTAGAAGGAAGGGCAGAAGTGGACCAATTTTTTCTCCTCCAGTAAAAGTAGGATAAGGCCTCCCATTCAACTTCCTAGTTAGAGGTGGGGGAGAGGGTAAGGAGGAGCAGTATTTACTAAAACTGTGTTGTCTTGGTCTGTTTTAATCACGGTTTGAACCCTGCCCGTGGTAAGACTGGGTCCATTCCTAAGGCAACATTCATATGGGCCAGGATCTGCCTTGAACACAATCAGTGGAGGGGTTTCATGAGTCATGGGTGTGGGTATAATTCAGCTCCACTCTCACTGTCCTCCCCTCTTGCCTTTAGGTAGACATCCGGATTATTGAGCCTCAAGGACTTCGGTATGTGCATACTCCTAACACACTGGGAGATCACTTTGATGGACTCACTACCTTGTCAAAGGGAGAGAAAAAGGTAATGGTCAAAGCAGGAGTTGATCTCAGGGAACATTTTCTCACACAGGGTATACGATTCTCTCAGTATTTGCTGGGACCATGAAAAAACAATTTCATGCTCACCACAAAGAAAGGACCGTTAAAGGGGAGATCTGCCTTGCAAAATGCAGACTGTTGATGCTACCACTCTACCTTTAAATAGGGTTTGGGGCCTGAAAAGGAGGAAGTGTCAGACACTCTATGAAGTCCAAGAGGCAATGTTATTATGGTTCCTCATTTCATGAGGGTCAAGTGCAGCCAAAAATACAGTTAAGAACTGAATTATCTGCATATTCAGCAAAAGACTCCAGATTTAGCAAACAGCGGTGCAAATGCACACTGAATAATGTGCAAATGTACATGCAAATATGTTGGTGAAATTCAGTCCACAGTTGGATTCAATCATTTTAACTCTTTTCTGTTCATATCGACTTCTATCCAAAAGAACAGGAGTACAGGCTTAGTAGTAATTATAGTTGTATTATTACTGCTAATGATTTGGTTGTTCCAATAATGGGCCAATGTTAGATGTGCAAACACAGGACAGAGGTGGCACTTGTTCCTAAGAACTTACCATCTTAATACTGGCATGCACAAACAAAAATATTGAAAATGTATTATTGACTGTATGATAGCCCTTGTTTTCTTTTTAAATGAATGCAGCCAGGAAAAAAAAAACAATACCATGGGTGCATCTAGACAAGATGAGCCTGGCGCAGCCCTCCAGCCTGCAGCCCTCCCGGGGGGCATGTAGCAGCAAAAGCTGCACCCCCCCAACCCGTACCCCCCTGTCCCGCACCCTGCGCCCTGCACCCACTCCCATTTCCCACCACTTTGCTGCCTGCTGCAGCCTTGGGAGCTGTCGATGGGCTGTGCCGCACCCTTTCCCTAATCCCAGCCTCACTCCCTCCCTGCCTCAATGCCATGGGAACATATCCCTGTTTTTTACATTATAAAGTGAGTTTGCTTTATGTGAATTCAATTTATGCGCCAGTCTCCAGGAATGCATGTGCCACATAAATCAAGGGAAACCTGTATCTAGCCTCTCTTTAAATGATTCCATGGTCATCCAAGGTATGTTTTTGCAGTGAAGTCACATTTTTTGTTTCTCATTTCAAGGCCCACATCTCCTTCAAACCAACACTGGCCCAACAGCGAAAATGCCCCACGTGCTCCTCCACGGCAGTAGATGGGAATTTTGTGGTGCAGTATGATGTGAATAGAGAAAAGGCGGCTGGGGAACTAGAAGTAAGTTCATTCTGTTCATATCTGCTGCTGTTTGACCGGCAACAGAAACCTAAGACTCACCATGGCAGAGGAGAAGATCCTAGGACCTCTCTCTGGTACTTTCTGCTTTCTACTAGGGTGGAACGAAGCACTGGCAGAACATGACCAACAGATGAGAACTAAAGGACAATGAAAGGGCAAGGAGGATTGTAGGCAAACAGAAAAGAGGGCATGTCTGTATGTGCAGTTAATGCTCAGAAAGCTTACTGCACAGTGAAATACTGCACAGTGGCCATGTCTACATGAGGTGCTGAGTGAACGGTAGCCCAACATTACTACACAGTAGTGTCTTGTGGCAAAAACTGTAATGCAGTGCTACTGCACAGTAGTATTTGGCTACTGCACAGGAGTGTCACAAAAAGGCATTCACTGGCAATACTGCGCAGTAACTTGGGTTACTGTGCATTTGTTTAATACTTGTTTATACACAAGTACTATAAACAAGTGTATAAAATAAGTACTAAACAAATGCACAGTAACCCAAGTTACTGTGCAGTAGCATCTCATGTAGATGTGGCTAGTAAGCTTTCCCTAAGTTAATGTCTAGACGTGCACCTGCTAGAAGAAAATTTGCTCCAGACAGGAGCAGTTCAGGGCAGGGATACTCTTGTCCTGCTTTGCTACTATATGGCCACATGGGGGAGATCTAGGCCCCCCTGGGTGCCAGCCCCAGGCTGGCAGAGGGCACTGAGGTCAGGCCTGGGTTCGGGTGGGGTGGGGGAAGCTATCCTGCATCTGGGATAGCTGCCTCAATCCCACCCCTACCCCAGGCAGCTGCCTGCTGCCCAACTCTGGTCATGGAGCTCTGGGCAGGGACAATGTCTGCTGCCCTCACAGCAGGCAGCTCCCAGCCCCTGGCTCCGAGATCAGACCTGGGGCTGTGACATTGCCCTCCCCCCGGGAGCTTTCTGTTGCTGGAGCTGGCTCTGATTGGGACAGGTCCCAAGGGAGGGGGAGATTGTCCCAGGCCCTGGCTCCAATCTTGGAGCTGGGAGCCAGAGCTGCCTGCTGCGGGGGCAAGGGGACATTGTTGCTGCTCCTGCTCTGCGATCGGAGCCAGCCCTGGCAGCAGGCAGCTGCCCAGGGAAGGGGAGAGTTCTTCCATGCCCTGCTGCCTGGGAGCAATTTGCTCCTGGTCAGCTATGTAACCATGCACTATCGTGCAGCAGCTACTGCATGGTAAACCTACTACCTGTGTTTACGGGTAATAGGAAACCGCACAACAAACTAATCTACTGTGCAGTAGCTCTTGCAGACGGTTATATAGTGACACTTTATTGAGCAGTAAATTAGTCTATTGTGCAGTAAAGCGTCTCATGTAGACACACCCAGAGTTATCTAAATTCTGATTTGACCAAAAGTCCTAATGAAAATGGTAACAAGGACAGAACAGACTTCTTATCTTGTCTGAAACCCATCATTTTTCACCTTGTAGTGCTTTCTCCAGCACCATTCAGAGGTCCTCAATCAGACAAAAGAGTAGTAGAACATTGTATGGATGCATCAAAATATGGCAAAGTGGTACTGCATCAGCTTTGTGCTGACACCCACTTCGGTTGAATCATTATGGATGGGTAAACTCATGTAAACCCTGCTCTTGCATGCCAATGCAGGGCTGTCCCCAAATGGGTAGTGAACTGAGTTCTGTTCTTTCTGGCGGAAATGGACAGCGCAGACAGAAGTGCAGCTCCGTGCTGTAACTGAGAAGGCTTTGCAGCAAGCGCTCTGAGTTACAACGGTCCCCCGGACCAAACAGAGGTTCATTGATGGTTCCAGCAGGGAGGGGAATCTTGCTGCTAGCTACAGCCGGTTTCCCCTAGCCATGGCCCCTCCTCTCCCACAGCCTGTCCCTGTTTTCCGAATGGGAAGGGGGGAAGGGAGCAGGGGGAAGCTCATTCTAGGGGGGCCCCAGCTGGCGCTGGAGGGTGGAGTGGGTGAATTGGAGCCCCCACACCTCAGGGGGGCTCCAGTATACTCACCCACCCTTCAGCAGGGGCGGAAAAAAACCCAGACTGAACTGCCTCCACTCCCTTTCCCCCCTCCCACTCTGAAACCAGCTCAGAGGCTGGCAGACACAAGTTACAGAAGATGCTATACTTTGAAATGTCTTCATCTGAATCTGAATGCAGGGTCAGATCATTGCCCAATCGGCCATTTTTTAAGTGGTCTGCAGCCATGCGCTTGTGTTTAGTCATGACTATAGACCGCTTTCTGTGGCCATATTGGGTGAAAATTGTCACTACTGTCTGTGCCCTGACCAGTGGTGCTCACATACTGTACAATGATTGTGAATGCAATCTAAAAGGATGTCTCTGACGTGGACCTGCGTAACTTCTTGGTTTATGATCAAAATATATTAAGTTGCAGTTCAGTACTGATAATATTCAGAACTCCAAATAGCCAAGCTCAGTCCATTAATAAAAAACAAATTCTGCACTTAAAAATCAGGTGTATTACAAAGCTGTTACCTCACGGAAGAGTCCTGCCCTAAAAACTACCTCTCAAAGGCACCCAATATTTAATGCTGCCTGGTTTCCACCAAGTAGTAGGAATTTCAATGCCGTTCCTAAAGTGGCTTAACAGGTTTTCACCAAGCCTTATCTTTCTTTTAGCCAAGGTATCTCAAATTCAGCAAACAAATAATTTACTTATGCTAACTAATTCCCTATTTTGAATATCAGTAGAGCCACTTTGCTAGTCTCACTATAAATTCTCATGGCTGGAATGTTGCAATTCAAGACTAGTGAAGGAAGAAAGCATTCTTTGACTTTGGTTCACAATTATACACTTACCTTGAGTACAAATATTTGCGGAATATAAAGCATTGATTAACGAACTGAAAGAAGAATTTGTCTGGGGAAGAAGAATAAAATCTTTCATTTCGTTAATTGTCTTGCGACACAGAATCTTTACAAGGTCTCAAGTTACTGGAATTTTTATTTTGCAGGTTTTTAATGGCTATTTTATTCACTTCTTTGCTCCTGAAAATCTGGATCCTCTGCCCAAAAACATCTTATTTGTTATTGACGTCAGTGGCTCAATGTGGGGCCTGAAAATGAAACAAGTAAGTCTTTGATTTCTACAGCCAAAAGGACTTGCCTTTATGGCCCCTTGCTATACCTAGGTATTGCTTTTCTGACTGGTACTGCTCTTTCCAGCTTTAGAAATCAGAGACAGATCATCACTAAAAGTGACTAGGTCAGATCTTTAAATATTCAATCGAAGTCCTGCTCCAGTGTTTTCCTGAGTAAAGGACATCAGAATTTGACCCACCGTATTTAATAACCTTGTTTAAATGTTTTACAACACGGATGTTGTCATTTGAATAGCACTTAGCTCTTGAGCAATACTTTTCAAGCAGAGATATCAAAGCACTGGGCAAAGACATCCACCTCATTCCTACAGATACGATACCACTGGGCACTGGTGGGGTCTCTGCTGGACTGTGCACCGAGTTTGTGGGCACCAGATTTCATGAAAGATGAAAACAAGTTGGAGAGAATCCAGAGAACACTAACTAGAATATGGGGGTTTAGAAAATGTAACTAGCAGGGGGGAAATGAGAGCAGTGGATTAGTTAAGTCTAGAAAAGAAGGCTTGGGAGCACGTGATGAATCTCTAAATATGTCAAGAAATTTTTATAAAGAGGACAGTGGAAAACTACTGAGCAATGACTGTTCTCAAAGTAATTGGTTTAGAGAAAAAAACATTTGGGTTAGATATGGGAAACACCTTTCTAACTGTACAAACACTTATGGTTTCATAGTTTCATAGTTAGTAGGGTCAGAAGGGACCTGAGCAGATCACCAAGTTCAACCCCCTGCCGTGGCAGGAAAGAGTACTGGGGTCAAACGACCCCAGCAAGGTGATTGTCAAGCCTTGTCTTAAAGACCCCCAGGGTAGGAGCCAGCACCACTTCCCTTGGAAGTTGGTTCCAGATCCTAGCCACCCTGACCGTGAACTAGCGCCTCCTGATGTCTAGCCTGAATTTACCCTCTGCCAGCTTGTGACCGTTATTCCTGGTCACTCCTGGTGGTGCTCGAGGGAACAGGGACTCCCCCAGTGCCTGCTGGTCCCCCCGACTAGTTTGTAACAGGCCACTAGATCCCCCCTCAGCCTTCTCTTGTGGAGGCTGAACAGGTTCAGGTCCCGTCGCCTCTCCTCAT